ATGCATTTATCTAAAATGTGCATCAATTCCCTTGTGAGGTCTGCTAAGCAGAGCCATCTGCTTTTCTCCTGCATAATAATTTTGCAAATGTCGTCATTGGGTTGGTGTTACTGTAAGTCTTTTAACCACTTTAATTTTTATGGTGATTTTTTGCACTTTTCATTTAAGCCTGCTACAAACAAGAAATTCATATAAAAAGTGTTTCTCCATACTGTTTCTCCAGACCGTGATCCCTACTGCTAGACATAACCACATATCTGTATGCCACCTATCACTCCAACCCATTCAGGAACCAAGAGCAAACAGTTCTCAGCAAGGACAAATCCAAACAAGCTGCATAAACCAAGGATATTTATTTATGCTTCTACCATGCTGTTGGTTACACTGCACCCTGACACACAAGTACACAAAGTATAGAGAGAAGATATCTTCTCTCTTCAGAAATATTCTGGCTATTTTTCTATATTTCTTTATATAAGTAAAGAATATGTATAAAATATATATTTATTACTCTCTCTATATAGAAACATATATTTCTATAATATTTTTCTATTTTATGCAGTCTCACTGTACTCTTCAAAATATCTGAGATAAGATTACTTTTGTAAGAGAGCATTCAAGGTGGTAAAAAATATATTTCTTTGCTAAGCATATTTTAAACTTTATAATCAGTGAGATCACCAGAATCACCAGAAGTTAACTTACCTAGACAACAGCTATGTAAACTGACTTTGTTTAAAAGTCAGTGACACCTACTTTAGGTGATCAACATTGGAATTAGATACTAGTATATTAAATGAGACTTTCAAAGATGCAATAGAAATTTATATTCCTTTTTATCTTTTCATCTTCTTTCTACTTCCAAAATGCACTAGAACATCAGAGCCTGCTACATTACCATCCTTTCAGAAGATGTTTTCTGTAATGGTAACGCCACCAGTCTTGGATCACATGAACAGGTTCTAAACTCAGCAAAATAGAAACTGAACAAATGTCATTTCCTTCATATGTTCCTTCCCTCTTCCATTCACGCAGCTGAAAAGATTCCCTATTATCTCAAATGTCAGACATGCTCAGTAGTTCCTGTACTGTTAAAAAAATCTCCCTCACAAATCCAGTCTCACAGATCCTGTGGATCTCCAGTAATTCCATAGCAAAGACACTTGTTTTCCTGTAGAAATACCCATATTTACAAACATGGTGAGGTTTCTCTTTCCTGACATTATGAAAATGTTTCCCAAACTCATAATCAAGTGTTGAACTAAACAATTAACTTGTGCACAGAAATGATGTGACCTATGAATTTGTTTCATACACACCTATTCCATGTTATGGGTTTTTAGCTATTATTTGTGAAATCAACCAAGTTCTAGCAATACCCAATATTCTTTCACATCACTGAGACATAGTAGCAATGCATGGGTTTGAATCACATATTACAGAAATTTTATTTGCTTAAACTAATACATACTCAGAGGTTTTAAGCTCTTTGTCACCAATGAGGTTTACAGGAAGAGCAATACTTACTTTGTACCCATTAATAAGTGTTAATTTATTACCACAAATGTGCTGGCATTTCAAAAGCATCACTGCAAATCAAAGACTAATGCTGTAACAGACTGAATTTCATTAGCAAGGAAACATGTCAATCTTTGACTAAATTAATGATCAAAAGAGGTGTTTTAGGAAACGCTCAGTAGTGCTGCCAGCAAAGCACAAGGAAATCCTCCAAGTAAGGATTTGCATTTTAGAAGAGAATGCCCAGAGCTTGGAGCATATTTATGAGGCAGGCTCATGTTCCAACAACTGATAAAATCATTTTGTCATTCAGTCTCATTTTTTAGTTCTACTATCTGAATGAAGAGCAAAGATTGTGAGGTTAAAAGCAAGTTATCAAGGAAGCTGTACATTATTGAAGTTTTCCATCTCATCAAAGTGAGGCTGATCTTTTTCCGTCTCAGTGTCAAAATTTTTTAACAGTTCAGCAAAATCTGGATGCCACCAAATTGACTATTGTCAAGATTCAAAGCCCACCATGACAACTAAAAAGTGTTCGTGGTTGCATGTGAACCAGAAGACAGACTGGCCAGGAACCATTTCCTGGCCCTGTCACTAAACAGGAGGGCATGGAATGGTCTGTGTCCACATGGCTGAATCAACTCCTGCCTCCAAACAGGATGTCTTCATCCAAACTAACTCCTGGGAACGGTCCTGGGCCTCTGCCAAACCCAGAACCATTCCAGGTTGTTTCTGGGAGTTGCTGGCTCCTTTGGGCTGAAAAGTCACTTAAAGACAACTTTAAAAACATCACTAGACCAGTACTCAAATCTGTGCAGTAGCCCCACATAATTACAAGTGTGGATGTAACCTGTGTGCCCTTTCTCTACTAATCAGACTTAGTCAAAGGCATCAAGCAAAGATGAAGTTTGTGCTAATGGGTCTCCTGAAAGAGTTCTTAACAGACGCCTCCCTGAGAGTCAATAGGAAAATACGGATGGGATCCAAAACTGAATTTATGCTGGAGTAAACTGGCAATTTCTGTTTAATTTCTCTTAATGAAATAAGAAAGCATAATTTCACAGAAGTTTAAGAAAAACAATGCAGTACACCACTAACCTGCAGAGCACAAGGGCCTGAGAAACCAGCAGCATTCGTGTCCAAAGGGTAATGAAGCTGGTAAACAAGCTAGAAAAGCTAGAAAACAAGCCTGATGAGGAGCAGCTGAGGGAGTTGGGTTTTTCAGTTTGGAGGAGAGAAGGTTCAAGGGGGACCTCATTGCTCTCTACTGCCTTAAAGGAGGCTGCAGGGAGGTAGAGGTCAGTCTCTTCTGCCCTGTCTCAAGTGAAAGCATGAGATGAAATGGCCTGAAGGGAGTTCCAGATTAGATATTAAAAAACCTTTTTCATTGAAACAGTGATTAAGCATTAGAATAAGTTGCCCAGGGAGGTGGTGGAGTCACGGTCTCTGGATCTGGATGCGGCACCTGGGGATATGGTTTAGGGGTGTTTATGGTGGTGCTGGGTTGATTACTGGACTCAGTGATCTTGAAGGTCTCTTCCAACCTTGATGATTCCAACCAACAGCTGAACTAAGAGAGGAACAATCTAGTCTGTATTTGGCTAGACCATGGCAGGGCTTTAAATTGTGCAATAAAATTTCTTTACAGAAAGGGGGTCAGGCATTGGAACAGACTGCCCAGGGAACTGCTGGAATCACTAACCCCTGGCAGTGCTCAAAAAACATGTGGATACGGTACTGTGGGGACAGGGCTTAGTGGTGAACATGGCAGTGCTGGGTCAATAGCTGGACTCAATGACCTCAGAGGTCTTTCCCAAACTTAACGATTCTATGACTCTATGATTCTAAAAATCAAATTTGCTAAACATACATACCAAATATAAATGTTTACTGGATTATTTGAACAATAAATACAACACATTAACCTCTAGCTCAGAATAATAAACTGTAAGCTATGAAAGACTTTTAAAGCAGTGAATTTAAGACCTAAACGAAAATTCATGTAATGAAAGAATATCACATAAGAACTACACAAAAATAAAATCAAATGATCTAGCTACTAAAATACACATATGTGTTCAAAATCTTGTGGGAATCAAATATTCCAGTAAAAATAAAGGGAGAGATGGAAACACAAGTTTCTTATTATCACACTTCATATGTTATAAAACCTAAGAGTTAACTTATTTTTGGCAAAGGGACAAAGGTTGCACAATACTCTGGCTTACACAAATATTTTCTGTTGTTAAATGCATCTTAAATGTAGCTTGTCATATATTAACTTTATGCACACGGTGCACCATGCAGCCTAGGAGTGTCCCAAAGATCCCTACATTTCAAAACACTGATGAATAGCAAGCTGCCAGAGTCCAGTGAACCAGGTGTAAAATAGTTACTCAACAATTTATAGTTTAACTGAAACCAGATAAAATCATTTAAACAATAAAGACTGTACACATTTTGACCAAAGTTGGTATTTTTGGACAAATTACTGCATATGGTATTTTCTAGAATACTCCTTCCTGAAAAGATAAAACAGTAATAATGTGAATAACAGTGAAATATGCATGTGGAAATATATCCTCATGTTTAACATTTTTAGTTGCTCTTTCCTTTAAAGGAAAAAAAGAGCTAGATGTGCAGTGGAAATGGTTATGAAGAAGTGGATATGCATATATTAACCACAGACTTTATGCTAACACGGCACTTCCTTCCACTGAGGATTTTATAATGTAAAGAAAGAGAAAATGATTTAGTAAGAGTGAATATTTAAGAATAAAAATTCTGTATTCTTCATTCATCATCCACTTCTAGAGTGAGTTTTTACTGAGCACTAACAGTTTACCATCACCAGAGGGGCAAGGACATGGTCCTGCCTCAGCCTTCTTATTGCTTCACAGTGACAAAGGAAAATGTTCAGATACACAGAACATGCAGTAACAGCTCACACTGAGTTACACAAACCAAGACTGAATTGCAGAAGCAATGATATTTGCATACATATTAAATTTTAAAAACATCTTTCATAGTACTCATCACAATTTATATTACTAGTCATTTCCATACATTTCCCCATGTCCAGCCAGCAATCTGCTCGCCTTGAGATAAGAAGCCATTATTAAAACCATAACCAGTCTTAATTTTTGGTGTAATACATAATGTAATTGTCAAATATCTAGTGATCTACTTAAAAGTTACTTAGAGATGAGAACAAGAAAGTCCTAAATATATTTATCGCTGTTATTAATTATTTATATTCCGAGGGCATTAAAGGCCCAAATTCAGACTCAGAACTTATTTTTATATCAAACTACTATATTATATGTTAGTAGGATTACCCATTAACTTTTTGTTTCATGTCAATTGGAAGTTTGTGTATAGAAGAACAGAGCTTCCACAGGAAATCCTTGGCATTACCCACAGGCTGAGCACATGCCCTGCTTTGCTAATAATATAACAGTTATTTGAGAAGGTTGAGGTACCTGAAGTTCTGATGCTCGCTTCATCATCTCCAGGGTGATGTAGCAACCAATAGAATGAGCAATCAGTACCAGCTTTATATCTTTTGATACATTCTTTTTGAGGAAGTTCAGCTTATGCTCTACTTGTCCGTTAAGTCCAAAAACATCCTCTAGCTCCTTAATATCTGTGTCTGAAACATAAAAGAAAAGAAGTCCTTCGGTTCAATGGTAGAAATCTCAAGTATCTCTCCCCCCCTGCCTCACTTCTTCGTAAAACACTGAAATAAATACATACATTAATTTAAAAAAAAAAAACAACTCAAACCACCAGACTTAATAATTGAAAGTTACTACCACTGGCAAATATAGACTGATGAATCACATGCACAGGATGTGAAGCCTTATGTGTAGCTTGGGAACCAGGGAAAGCTAAGGAAACACATGAGACTTCACGGCACATCATCCAGTATTGTGGTCTCCTTCATTAAGAACAAGACCAAACTCAGAGCATTGGATCAGCTTAAATCAATCCATCTTCACACTGAGCAATCAGGACCTACAACAGCAATACTGCCCAGGAATAAGAGTCCCTCCTCACAGAAGACAAACTATCATGTACGTCATCATGCACTAAAACTTTCACATATTCAAAATCTCCTGTCTTAAAATAAAGATGCACAAAAATGTCCCATGTAATGAGGAAAAATAGAAACTCCTATGTGTCAATACGGAGCACTAGCACCTACACAAACGACCCCTATTTATGCAGGTTCTTATCACTGTCAATTCAGCCACAAAGAAGATCAAGTTAGAACTTCATGCTTCTAGGTTATAGTGCAATTTGATCACTGTTTTGCCAGGGACCTCTTAAGGGAGCTTGAGCAATCCCTTATGAGAATTTGGATCACTGCTTCCTGGCCAGTCAACAAGATGAAGTTGAACCAGTGTCTGTAAGAATATACACCAATTCGGGCATCTTTAACGCTTGCTCATGAGGTGGGTGACATGGATCTCAAGTTCCACAATCTAAGGGGGTTCACAGCTCCTTCATCTGCTAGAAAAGTGCTCTACTCACTAAACTAAATGCTATGTTGAGGATATACCACTCCAGTTTAAGCTGGACTACTCCACTGAAAAGATTGTAAGAAAAAATACTAAAATAAGAATGAAAGAAAAGAGGCAGAAAGCATGAAGGAATGTATGCCTCTACCTTACCTAAAGGAGATGTAGTGGCACTAATATCACCTAATGTCTTAAATCCATACTATTATCTCAGGATTCAATTTCATACTCCAATTTCAAACTCTGAATTTTATACTCCTTGCGGGCTGACTTTGGATGCAGCTTTAGTCTGAAATAAGCTAAATCTCCTGGCAGCATGGTTCAGACACATGATGGGGACTGGCTCATCACTGATCCATGGTCCTAGAGATGGCATCTAGGGTCCTGCCAAATGCCACACACCTTTTCAGGAGCAGCTGACAGAGATAGTGCACCCACAGTCCTAACCAAGTATTAGGTGTGACTTCCCATTTGGTTTCTTTTGATGTGCTCTGCAACAGTTCCCTGCGTGAAAAATAGATGTGGAAGAAAGCATCCATTGATACTATAAATACATTAAAATACTGAAATGCACTGAAAAACTACTGTAAGAGAAAGTCAGATAGTATCACAGATCCATTTCAGATGGGAGTTGGCTTTGCACCTGCTTGGAGAAAGCGACAACTATGGGTGAACGGTCTAGGACTGTAAACAGCGTTTATCAAATCACAAAGGCTGATGGGACTTTAATACGTATGTAGGAAGTTTGATGGCAATTGGACAGTAACCTCAAATACCAAAAATTACCAGTGTTACTGTACTGAAGCTATTGGAATGCTGACAGTGACAGTACTAATTAGTAGCCCAAGTGGGCTGGCACTATAACACCTTTTTTATTATCTGCATGAAACATAACCTTTAGAAGCAAAATAATTGCTCAAGAACATCTTCTGATGGCTCTTTTCTGAGTTTAAATTATTAGCACAAAGATGACAACAAGTTCTTCAGTTAAACTAATATTTCTACTAAAACTACTGATGGTCATATCCCAGCATAACTCGTAGTAATTTACTCAAAAAGAAAAAAAGGTTTACTAAAACACACTCAAGGAAGGCAAAATTAGATGAGAAGTAATATTTTGTTTATTAGGCCTACATTTTATTTAAATTTTTAAATATATTTAATTACACAGCAGCTCAGTATCATGAAGGAACAGGTTGTCTATATCACAAGTCTAATTACAGGCATATATAACACAAACCCCCCAGAATACTTGAAATACAAGAGGCCACTGTATACAAAAACAAGTGACAGAATAAGTTCTATTGAGTATATGCATATCACCATGTGTTGGCTTGTGCAGGTCAATCTCCTCCTGCAAACATTTGCTATCATTTCCATACTGTTTCAGTTAGGCACTGTCATCTCAGTAACTTATCAGCATGTCTTATAATGTCTGACATTTCATTTCAATTCCTGAAAATAAGGTTTTTTACAAGAATTTCAGCTTATTTGCGAGTTAGAACAAGTAAAAAGGAGGTAAAGTAGACACATAAATCTTCTGGAGAATTCTCATGGTTCACAAGACCCCAGAAACCAACCAGAAAACAAAACAAATTTTGATTTGCATTATTCAGTCTCATGAGGTTAATGGTTTCTTTTCACTATATGAATTCTGTATCTGCTAAAATAGTTGCTGAACATTGCTGCCATGCAACTAATAAACAGTATAACAGAGACAGTCTAGCCCCATCTCAACATCTTCCAAGTTTAGATAACTATATCAGACAAATACAGTTACTTATTTTATTATTTATTATATTATTATTTATGAAGACATTAGATATGTAATTTATTATTTAGTTACCTAATAGACTGCAGTGTAGAGATTCTGGCCAACATATTCATAGCTATTACTAACTTCAGCAGAGATGTGTCTGTTCAGAACCAGTTGTGTTGCCAAAGAGGAAGGATATGGTTGGGGATTAAGAGGAGAGTAAAAAGAAGGGCTTTTCCTCCTTGCATTTGCCCAGACTTCAGTTTAGGACTTGAGCATACTCAGCTCAAGCCTGTGCACTAGTGTTTCCTTATGGGAGCTGGGGAGAGCAGAGATTGAAGAAGCAATTTTTAACTGGATGGGTTAGTTGTGATTGATGATGACCATGGTCACCCATTCTACTGCACTGGGCTGAATCATCCTCAGCACAGCACATTTCACACCACTCAGAGCAAAGATGCTCCAATTCCCATGGCTACTGGTCTGTGTTACATACACATACAATCCCTCTGAGGCTGCGAGTCCTGACAGCCAAGGTTGACCCGAGAGAAATATTTCAGCTGTTTAATACAACCTTTCCTTTCCTTCCAAAATACTGGTTTGTTGCCAAACCCAATCACCTTGGCACTATTCCTGGAGAGCCACACTGGAGGATGAGTGTGCAGTGTGGGGTTTGGTGATCCGCATGCAAAGCTCTCATCATGGACTGACCCCGCACTCGTCAGGTGAAACTCCAGTAACCCTATATTGAAATATGTATCCTATTTTGCATCTGGACAAATATAAAGTTGCCCACACCCCGTGTCACTTCATGTTTCCCCAACACAAATGCTACACTTCTCATAGTCCAAAATATGTGAGAGCTGGGCTGCGTCACAAGTTTGGAAGATTTATTTCTTTATTTTACAGAATAAAATCGCCCAGGAATTATCCAAAATCAACATGAATTTCTTGGGTGGAGAAGCTTAAATGGGCTCTTTGTACAAGCAAACAGACTTGCACAAACACACTGGCAGTCAGCTCTCCAATGGCTCTACATCAGAGAAGGGACCAGAGTGACTTCACCTCAGGTGTGGAATACATGCCATGGCTGAAGGACAGCTCATTTAAGCAGTTTTCAGATAGTAGAAATTATAAGACTTGTACCTTACGCTGCAAACACCCCATCTGCGCCAAGACGTGATTTTAAGACTTTATTTAGCTGAAGTGTATTAAAAGAAATACTGTATTTCTTTATTTTCTTTGGCAAAGCATTAATCTTCTGATGTGCTTTTGGAAAAACAAATGCGCCATCACTTTAATGAATCTCTTTTTCTGACCTCTGCTAAAACCACAGGCAGAAAACAATGATAGATTAAAATAAAGTGTTTGCTCTAAGATTAGTCGACAAGTTAATCTTGCTAGGAAAGAGGACTTTGGTTTTCAGGGAAATAACGGAGAATTGTGTTTGTTTGTTTTTTCTGCTGTGTATATAAGGGAAATTCTTAAGCAGAAAAAAAAAGCATAGCAGTTATACAAGCAGACTTTAGGCTGGCAATTCACAAAATGTAGCCCATCATTAAAGAGTCTCCAAAAATCATAGACTTCTTTTTACTGGATGATTCAAAAAGATACTAGAGGCCAGATTTTCCAACAGTACCCTCAAATGTCTGCGTGCTTTTGTACTTTCCAAATTTCAAAAGGAAAGGCTTACATGTCCAAACTCCAAATTGCTGTGGTCACAACAGGTGACTAAGTATTTGAGCTCAGTACATACAGACACTTGTTCACTTGTCAGAGAGTGACTTTGAAGTCTCTCCTAAGATCTGCTCATACACAAGGCCTCCAAATTACTCATGAACAAGTAAGGAACTATGTGAAAAGGTAACTTGTGATTATATGTCATGAACGAATGGGAGGTAAAACCCACTGGTTTACCTGCACTGTGTCTTCTTCCCTGGACCATTTACTCTAGGAGGTAGTAGCAGGATATCTAAGAAAAATCTCTAATGAACCCGTTGTACAAACTCTTCTGGTCAAGAATTTTCAGAACTGGACCTTTTTGCAGGATAAGGACAAGTAAGTATCTGGAGACTGAACCAGGGGGCTAGAAAAAAATTCACCTCTTCCTCTGAAGATGGTGCTCATTTCAGCTGTGTGACACATCACCATGCAGCTTAATGTTAGCAGTAAGGAGAAACAACAAGTTTTCAAACGCATGAAAATGCAGTAACAAGAAAGTATCAAGAGGAAGCAAAGCAAAGCAGGAGAAAATACTGACAGGTCAGTGATGATATCAAAGCATATGAAAAGGTACAAAGCATCAAGTACAGCCAACCACATGGTTCAGGAGAGTTAGCTCAGGGTCACGTTAAGTCCACTGCATCTCCACCA